TTAGAATAATCAAGTGTTTTTTTCCTAACCTACATGGATAAAGGTAAAAATAACTATTGTATATCACCTAAAAGTTACATATAGAATTAATAAGTACAAAAATTAACAAGCATTTAACAACCTGCTCGTTTACATTGATAAATATAAGTTTTAAAAGGTTTATGTTTACTTTTATTAATTATAACATATTTATTTATTATTTTTTAATATTTATTAGTACGTATTACAACTTAGTAATTTCTAATATCATTTGTCAGATTTAATATTTTTTTTTTATTTTATATTGTTCTTTCATATGTTTTTAAATTTTGTATTTGCTTAAAAATTCATAATATTATGTATAGAACTTTTTCGGTCATATGTGTTAATATATCAATTATTTGTATATCTTAATTATATTATATAAAATTACAGTTTTCTCTTTAATATTATAATCAATTATTCATAATTTCTAAATTAATTAACAATATTGTCGAGTCAACTATACTACCACATAGATTTTTTGTTCATAAGATTTTTAAAGAATATATTATTTTGGTCATATGTGTTAATATATAATCTATTTATATATCTTCATATTATATTATATACAATTACAATTTTCTCATTAATATTAGAATCAATTAGTCATAATTTATAAATTCATCAACAAAATTGTCAATTCATCTATACTACAACATAAATTTTTTGTTCATCAGATTTTAAAAGATATATTTTTTTGAATGATTTGCTTACTTTTAGTTGAGAAAAATTATATATTTTTTGAATACTTTTAACTTATTGTAACTGTAAAGATTTGTAAATATGTATTACAGATGAGAAAGATGACAAATTTTGAAAAGTAAAATTTAAATATTGTAATGACATTATGTTATTTTGATGGTATATTTTTTCTACCAGCTAAATAGTACCCCCAATATGAAATTGTCTGTATATATCACTGCAATTAGCTTTCCAATGCAACTTTCATTGATATGTTCCCAAAAAGAAAATTCACACAAGAAATAAATAATGGTAACTCGAATCATTAAATCCATTAAAATTCCATTATAATATAATTTGATCTATGTTGGAATAGCCAATGATATTGTCAAATGAAAGCTATGCAAATGAAATATCCTTCAGAATTTTTAGTGGAACATCTTATCGTTGGATTTTTCATTGCAACATAACATTTTATTTTTTGCATTCCTTTTTAAATATTAAAATTTTTATGTTGTAGTTTTTCTATTAATTGATTGCGTTTACAATTTTTTTATTAAAAATACATTAAACACATGAACTATTTAGTCTAAATAACTCTTTAGAAATCACTCGTTATTTTAACTCAAGATTACCTATTAATTTCTCAATTGAATTACAACCTTTTTACGTATTAATATTAAATAACAAAAATAATTATTATTTTATATTGTAATATGATATTTATATATTATATTAAAAAAACTAATAGCAAATAAAAATTTATTTAAAATTAAAATAATCATTTTTTTAAATATTAAAATTTCCAACCTACATGGATAAAATTACAAATAACTATTATCTATCACCTAAAAGTTACACATAGAACTAATAAGCACAAAAAAATAAAAATAAATAAACAATTCGATTCATTTACATCGATAAATATAAGTTTTAAAAGTTTTATGTTTAATTTTATTAATTATAAAATTTTTATTTATTATTTGTTTTCATATTTATTAGCAAGCCTTACACCTTAATTATATTTTTAATGTTATTCATCAGATTTATTATTATTTTTTTACATTGAAATCATTCTTTTATTTAGCACACATCTTTAAAATCAGTGGCTCATATAAAATAATAATAATAATTAAAATCTCATGATATTTTACTTAATTATTGAATGTAAAATTCATATATTTTAAGTGTTAATAATTAAAATATTACTCACCTTGATATTAACCATTCAATGGTCAAATGAAAATTCGTCAATTTTATTCACTTTGTGACTAAAATTGGAAAACAAACAAACAAACAAACAAATGACGATTTTTTTGGGATCAAAATTCCATCCAGTAAGACTAAAGTGCAATTTCTATTCTAATTCTAAATATAAGATTTTACTTTTCTTAAATAATGAAGTAGTTAAATGAATTGTTCAACTTTTCTAGTTTGTCAGATAATGTATAAAATTATATTAAAAACAAGAATTTTTGTTTTTTTAAAACAACAATTCTATATCTTTTCAAAACTTTATTGTTTAGGTTGATGTTAGGTTGATTTTTGGGAGATATGTGGAAGAAAGCAATTTCGTGAGAAATAATGGTGCGTGAATATTGTGTTTGATTTTTAGGAGATGTGAAATGTATTGTTCATGTATTTGTATTTAAGTAATTAAGCATTAGTTATTAATTAAAATTATAAGATATGATAGGTATTAGTGTATTACTAATTTGCCAGTAAAAACATGTTAAAGTAAGGGATTTTAGGTAATTTATTTTTTTAATTAAAAATATAAATTAAAATATGTATTACTGTATTACTAATTTGCCATTAAAAATATGTCAAAGTAAGGTTATTTTAGGTAGTTCATATTTTTACAAAAATACTCGTCCTTTTGGAGTAATATAGATATAGATATAGATAACAATATATAATATATAATATAATAAAAATTATGTTAGTTAATTATTTTTAAACTATTAAACAATTAATTAATGTAAAACAAAAGAAGTTGGGAATTGTGGGATTCTCGGCCACTAAAACATTTGAGATAAACTTGAGAGCAAAACAGAACTACTCGAAGAGCACTACGCAACAAATTGGAGGAAAAAAAAACATATTAATTGAAATTTGAGCATTCATCTTCTTGAGCAATTTGTAAGTACTTTTTTTTATATCTTTATTTATGATATTATTTATTTGTTCCTTTTGAGTCATTTAGGGTTTAATCAAGTTGAATATATGAGATTTCCTCTATTAGTACTTTCTAAATTCTTTGACTATCTTCATCGAAAGAGAAATTACAAGATCTATTAGTATTGAATCAATCATTGATGGGTTTCGGGACTTGAAAGAACGTCGAGCACAATTCTAGTAGAAAACGAAATTTGAAAGGTATTTATTTTTTTATTACAACCTTTTTTTTTTTAATTCCAAAATTGCAATTTTATGTATTTGTTGTTAAATATATGTCTAATACACATATATTTAATTCCAAAAATTCCAAAATTCAAGAAAAGTCATGATATTATGAGCTATTTTGCCTAATACACATTTATGCAGATTTCATTCTTGACCAAAAATCCATTTTGATATGATATGATATTTCTTTACCTTTCATGTAGACAACATTGATTATCTGTAGAACTTGGGATTATTATGTTGATTGTATGAAGGATTTGATATGATTGACGTTGTTCTGATGATAAAATACTATGGTCTACCAACAATTTAGGCTTTGACTTTAATTTAATTTTTGGATATTTTCCAATTAATCTATGTGGTACAAAAAAATCAATAATAATTCATTCAAAAAAGTACCATAGGGATAAACTTAAATAAACATCTACTGTTCATGATATCATTCATTGTTGAAACATTATCCAAACATAGATAGGATGCAGGGCGGCTTCGGGTAGCCAACAACTCGGCCGACTTGTCCTATTGTAATGATTTAGGATTTGAGTAAAATAAGAACTACGTTTTAGGATAGTTAAGAATATTAATTACGTTATTTCTAATTGTATTTTGTGATATTTTAATTAAAATTGATTTTTAGTAACAACACTATATTTTTAATACCTTTTTAAATAAATCATAGCACCCCATGACGTTGAAAATAATTCCATACACAATTGAAAGTACCAATATTTAGTATTATCATAGTGTAAAAAGATTTCATTAAAACCTTATCATATATTTGTGAAAGTATGCATATTTATAACAAAGAAAAAAAAAATACGTTGGCCTATTAGTAATGTTGACCTAAAAGAAAATTTACCAATCATAATCATTTATAATAGGAACAAATCCATGCATGTAACGGTTGGCTCAAAACCCATTCTAACACATGATATCCACGATTTTAGTTACCGTTTGGATTTTTCAGTTTTCATATAAGTTGTTTTCAACAATTGAACATCTCTTGATTCTTGTGTATCCACAGAACTATAGATATATTCATACGAAAGCATACTTCATTGAAGAGTTACGTTCCCATGTCCATGACGACTATGAATCTGCAGCACTCAGCCGCTAAAAAAAGAAATTTTGTTATATTATAATAGAAAATCCAAAGGTAAGGTATTACAATAACAATTTCAATGGATATTCCAATAGTATACATTCTCTTGGAATAATTACAACAAAAATATTTAGTTGGAATGAGTTTTTAATTGAAAATTGGTGATTCCAAAGACTATTATTTCAGTAGTTTATTACCGAAGAAATTTTCGTTCCAATTTTATTTTCACTCATATTTCAACTTTTGAAAACTCAGCAGTTGAAATAGTCAAAATCCAATTGAAATTCCTATGAAAATCTATCCGCCATTTCTTCCTCGGACAACAGACGAGCACCTGAACTAACCACAAATACCAAGAGAATAAACATAACAACCACAAATACCAAGAAAATAAACATAATAAGAAACTTAAGGGGTAATGAGTTGAGATTATACTTGCCGGCAAAATTTCAATTTAAGTCCACTAAGTTGGCACTTTTCCGAAATTGGTCCATCATGTAGTCCATCACAAAAATAGTCCACTATGTTGCCAATTTAATCAACTTACATCCATTTTTCATGATGGATTGATAACCTGCTGACTTGGACGGATTATTTGCTTACGTGGGATGTACAAATGCAATCTGTTTGGACAGGTCAGTTACAACTTTACATGTGGCTTTATAGGTGGATCTAGATCGACTTATAAATCAAAAGGCACATCTCAATTCCCAATTTCTTTTCAGTTCCACATTCTAAACCCTAATTCGAGAAGCAGAAGAAAAAATCAGAGCTGAAAATTTTGAGAGAGTCATGTCTTCTTGTTCGCAAGGTTCGTCATCGAACATTTTATGCCGTTGCGGCTTCCCAGCGAAGCTAAGGGCTTCAAAAACAAGCTCAAATCCTGGAAGAAAGTTCTATGGCTGTAAAGATTGGAGGTCAGATGGAGCGGGGGGATGCCTTTTTTTTCATGGTACGACACAACTGAGATAGGGAAAATGGAAGCTGAAGGCAAAATCACGTCTGCAAAACTTGAATCTGAAATTGGGTCGCTGAAGGAAAAAATGGCAAGGTTTGAATTGCTTGAAGAAGAAACAAAAATCATGAAGCAGAAATATGAAATTGAATTGAAGAATCTGAACCGAAGAATTTGGAGATTGGAATTTTTGGTATCTTTAACATTTGTTTATATTTTAATTGCGTATTTTATGAAGTAGTAATAGATTGGAACTCTATTTTGGTGAAGATGGAATTGAAGTAGGAAGGAGTGTCATTGAACTGTTTTGCTGTTTGTTGTAATGATGGAATTGAATCAGAAATCATGATTTGTTGTTGCACTTGAAGATGGATATGTTGGTGTTGTTGTTTGGAACATTTTTTTTTTTGCTGTAATATTTGAATACCTCTTATAAGACAAATACCAGGTTCCATAATGCACAACCAAATATTTGAAAAGTTGTAAAACAAATAACTCATCCTGCCAACATTCATTCAAAAGTTGTAAAACATCCTGCCAACATTTGAAAAGGCTGTCCATTCACATTCAAATGTAACATTCATTCAAATCAAAAGTTTGAAAAGGTTGTCCATAGCAACAATCACAACACCAAAGTTTTCAAAACTACATAACCATCACAGCACCAACCAAAACCAACATACTTTTCAAAACCTTCCTACAAACATCAAAATACCAGATGACAAAATTCTATTTTTGCTAAGACACAATTACACATTGAAATAACACAATTACACATTCTTCATTCAGTCACTGTTCTTTTCCTTTGCCTTTCCTTTGTGCATCCATAGCAGCTGCAAGAGAAGACACAGAAATATACTTAACCCCCCTTTCTTTGAAAAGTTCCTTCAATCTTGTATCTCTTTCTGAGAGGCAGGATTCTTGACTTGGAATAAAATGGGCACCAACAATTGGACGTGGTGCTCTAATGTTCACACCAGAGACTGCTGATGACCCTTGCTGAAACTGAGAGTACATGGATGGTGGTTTCTTGAATTGATTCATATTAGGGGCCAAAGTGAAATGAGACTGTCCACCCTTTGATTTCTGCTTGGATTTATCCTGTATCACAAATAAATAAATAAAATAAATCATACAGTAACTATATTGATTTAACAATAAAAACAGAACAGAGACAAACTATATTACTATATAGTTTTACCTTTGCTGGAGCAACACTTTCTTGGGTTAGAATTGCTGGGGCAGGTTCACTCATCTCCTCCACCTGTGAAATCAAAACAAAACAAAAATTTTCAAAAGACCAACATATTTTTAATTCATAAAAAAGTCACATTATGACAGAGAATTCACATTGGCATGATTGACACTCTGATGGGATGAAGTATGACTTAATTGGACAGTTTTAGTCCTCGTCACCTACAAAAAAAATGTACAATGTTTAAGGTTTAATACATAGATTGCAATTGCAAGTATGAAATATAGACTCATAAAGACAGGGAATGAGTTAGTACCTGCAATTTTGTAGGCCTATTTTCCCTGCCAATTGCCACAGGTTCTACATTTCCCTCCTTAATCAACAGACACCCTTTTTTGTTGTGCCCCTCCACATGACAAAAACTACATTTCAAACCAGTTTGTTGTCTCTTAATGGTGGCCATATTAGTGACAAATCTGGGTTTCACTCTACACCTTCTTTTCTTTTGAGGCTGAACTTCATCTGATTCAAGCCTCCTTGCCCTAGTAGGCCTGCCAGGTGTCCTGCCATCATTAGGAAGCAAAGGTGATAAAATACCTGTCTGTGGCCATTCCTTTCTCCCATTGATTGGCATAATAGCAGGCTCATACACCTTTCTGTATGTTTCAGTTCTGTAGGAAGAGTGAGTGAAGTCTGCTATGTCCCACCCTTGGTAATGTACAGCACTAACAGCATGAAGGCAAGGAATCCCACTAAGGTCCCATCTTCTACACCCACATGTATGATTTCTGAGGTCCACTTTGAACTGCTCACCATTTGCACAATCAATTTGAAAATGGAAGTCATCAGATTTCAAAGGAATGCAGTCAACTAGGTTTTCAATGTGGCTATCTATTATGTCTCTGATCTTAGGACACAATACAAATTTCCATCCTTTTGGCTTGTCTCTATTCTCTTGAAGCCTCTTCATTAAGTACCCCATAATCCACTCAAGCATAGATAAAATAGGCATCTCTCTAGCTTGAAGGATGTTACAGTTGAAGGTCTCACATCCAATGTTTAAGAGCATGTCACATTTTGGAAATACATTAAAGTGGGACCTGCTCCATTGGTGGGGAGGTTTGTCATGAAACCAATTAAAAGCTTCCTGGCCCAAAGCCCTAAGAGCCTCCATCTTCCTTTTAAAGTCATTCACAGTAGTGGCTGTGGCAGCTCTCCAAACTGCATTTTTAAATGCAATCCCTCTGAACCCTGCATTCCTGAAATTACCAAGAAGGTGTCTGACACAAAATCTGTGATCTGCATTGGGCAGAACCTGCTGAAATGCTTGGATCAACCCTTTTTGTTTGTCAGAGATGAAGGTCCACTCAGACTGATTATTTATATCCAAGTCTTTCTTCAAAAGCAGGATAAACCACTCCCAGTTTTCCTTGTTTTCCTTGCTCACTACAACATATGCAAGAGAGTAGAGTGAATTGTTAGGATCTACTCCAACAGCAGTTAACAATACTCCCTTGTTAGGACCTTTAAGGTGACAACCATAAACTCCAATAAGGGGTCTGCACCCTGCCTTGAACCCTACCTTCAATGCACCCAAACAAATATAGAATCTATCAAATAAATTCTGTTCATCAGTGCCTACAATCACAGTAGTCCCTGGATTTGTTGTCCTTATTTCCTCACAGTAATCCCATAGAAGTTTATACTAGTCACTAGGGATACCCTCCCTATCTGCAAGTGCCTTCATTTTGCTCTTGTATGCCTGTTGATTGGAAAAAGTAACCCTAAGCTCCCTCACTTTAGAGATTCTAAACCCCTTTACTTTCCTATCTGGATCATCCTGCCACTCAGAAGCATATTTACCAGCTAACCAAGTTGAAGTAATATTTTTCACCTTCCCTGTGCAGGCACAAGTATGCCTAGGAGTGTACTTGATAACTTGTAAAGCTTGATCATTCAAAAGCTTAACAGCATGCAACTTCCAATTGCAAGATTTATCCACACATTTAGCATGAAAATATTTACCATCATTCTTTGAGATTCTGACTGATCTTTTTGATTTTATAGCCCTAGACTGAATAGCAATCCTAAGTTCACCTCTATTGCTAAACAACATCCCTACTTTGAAAGTAGGATCATAAATTTCAACAGAGTTGAACATAGGAAACTTAGGGTTTTCAGTATCCTCATCACAGCTATTATCACTATTTAGTTCATCATTATAAACCAAATCCCTATCCTCTAACTCCACCTGCTCATTGACCACTCTCTCATTTTCTAATGTTTGGCCAGGTAACCACTCAGCATCAATGTCAACATTTTCAGCAAACATCTTGTCATCAACTTGCTCATCCTCCATGTCATATTCAAACTCATATAAATCATCATCACTATCATCTGTTCCTCCATTCTCTATTTCCCCATCATTGACATCACTTTCTGATAACTCTCTCACAAATTCATCTACGTAACTTTGATCTACACCTTGAGTTTGCTCATGACATTCATTTGGCTCACAATCCCCTAACCCTTCACCATCTCCCATCCCAGTTTTAGCACCTAACCCTTCACCATCTCTCATCCCAGTTTTAGCATCTAGCCCATCACCATCCCCCAACCCAGTTTCAGCACATAATCCCTTACCATCCCTCAACTCAGTTTCAACACCTAATTCCTCACCATCCCTCAAACCAGTTTCAGGCCCTAACCCAACACCATCCCCCAAACTAGTTTCGTCCCCTAACCCATCACCATCCCCAAACCCGATTTGAGCACCTAACACAGATCCATCTCCCAACTCACTTTCAGCACCTGATAACACAGATCCTACAACATAAAAGAACACTTCCCTCATGTTGCGTAGTTCTTCAAAAACAGACTCAAATTGAGTTTCTGTGGTAATCAAACGATGTTTTTAGATATAATGGTGTAGATAACAATAGGGTTAGGGCATCCTTTAATTCTAGCCAAACCCTTAGCATCAAATAAAGAAATCTCATTCTTATCAACATAGTCAAATACCATACTCTCCCCACCTAAATATGCTGAGTATTTAGGCCCAATATCAAAGAATCCTCCATAATGAATAGCAACAGTAAAGAAACTATTTGTTCCTCCTGCAAATAAAAACCAAAAAAAAAAAAAACATATTAAACATTGGACCTACATGTCCCCTCATCAACCAATTTACAAACAAAAATAGCAACTTGTACTTACCATATTGCGGACATGATCGATACGCATCCTTCTTAGCCCGCAACTTCAGTTCGCAACCAGAAATAGCAATTCCTCGGGAGATTCTCTCAATAGGCTTCATATTTCGTTTTGATTTCGTCATTGATTAAGCGATTGAGATGGATTATTCGAGAATTCAAAAGTATTTTGACATTAGGGTTAGGGTTTTTTTTAGCGAGTGAAATTCTTGAAATTGGGTCGACGAGATGAATCGTTATTTTTTATTTCTATCTATTTATAGTCGCGTTTGATATTTGCTAATCCATCCACGTATGAAACGCCACAATGTAATCCTCCCACGTAAGCAAATAATCCGTCCAAGTCAGCAGGTTATCAATCCGTCATGAAAAATGGATGTAAGTTGATTAAATTGGCAACATAGTGGACTATTTTTGTGATGGACTACATGATGGACCAATTTCGGAAAAGTGCCAACTTAGTGGACTTAAATTGAAATTTTGCCCCATTGTTAAGGACAAAAGGATCTATATGCTGCACTTGTTTTGAACAAATAGCAAGATTGGATGTGTTTAATTTTCAGTGTTGGTATTAAGAGTCTCCCACCCCGTATATATAGGTGAAAAATGTATGCATGTACATTGTGAATTTGGTTCTATGTCTCTCACTTCTTACTGTAATCATATGTGCTACGTTCATATGATCACGCGGATAATGCATTAGGCTTGATTAATTTAACATTTTAATTCTCTAGGCTAGCTAACCAACAAGTCAAATGTGTTTGTAACATCATCACCTTGTAAATAGTCAGACTGAGATCGTAGGGGAAGAAAAAAGGGAAAGGGCACGAGATAAACATGACAAGCATTAAAAGAAATGATTTTATCACTTTAATCATATATATAGAAAGAATTATAATTTAAGTTTTTTGTCACTTAATGGACTTTGGGTTCATCCTATAAAGCTTAAATTTAAGGTAATATCCACACATCAAATTGAGGTGCAGGAAACCTGGATCTAGGTTGAACAGGTTAAGAAGGCGCTCTGATCCTTCCAAATCGATTGAGGACCTGCAAAACAAGTGTCGGAGTAGGTTCCAGCGTGAACACTTTGACGCTCAAGTCAGTACAAGAGAAGAAGATGATTAAATGTAATGACTCTATATAGATGTATGTATCTCAGAGAGTGTACAAAGTGTTTCGGATGTACCTAAACCCATTTTATAGGGGATACCTTGGTGCTTAGATTTAGCTGTCGAGGTCAGTCTGCCCATAACTTTCTTGTTGCCCGAAGTTTAGTCTTATCCTAATCTCATCCTTGAGAGTACCCACAGGTTCCCAAACTAGATATACTATCTAACTCCCCCGTCTTGTAGGTCGATACGTCTCAGTAGCTTAGGTTGTGCCCTAATTTATAAACACTGAAGTTACGGCAAATATTTACAATATGTATTATAATAAATTATTATAAACCTACGAGTCATTTGTCGAACTTACAAGCTTAAAAATAAAAAAAATTAAATATTTATAACATATATTGTTGTATATATATATATATATATATATATATATATTGAAAGAGATTGATAAAACAATTTAAAATAGTAAATTTCACTGTGTAATGAAATATGTTGACTTACTATTAAATGAAATAATAGTAAAAATTACTTTAATATTTATAAAAAAATAAAAATTAAATTATACCTTCATGTGTTAAATCGTGCGGTCCGATTAATAGCACGAATTTCTATATGAATAAAGTGATAACAATTTTGAAATTTATTTTATAATAATTATCGCAATAAAAAATTGATTATTCATATTAATTACAAATCACTGTAATTTCTAAATCTTTTGGTAATCTACCATACAACATATATTCAAAAAAACTTCTATTAAATATATTTCATTGTTAAAAAATATTATTTGAATATACACAATAAAATTGTAAATATAATTACAAAATAAAAATTTAAAATCAATTATGGAAAATTAATTATGATATTTATCTCAATATTCCAATAGAACCTTATTTATCAATTTTAATAACAAATCACGGTGATATCTTAATCATTTGGTAACTAACCATATACCGAAATTGTTTTAATCGTATCTTTAAAAGATCTTTTATTCAAGAGGATTAGTTTAGAATCCTTTGGTTTATCAATAACTCAACCATTTCAGTCTTTTTTTTTTTCGGAACGATAGAGATTTTATAAACAATACCCAGCCACCAACTGAATAAAACATGACAGCACAGGACGAAGCCCGCCTATAATCGACCCTAACAGGGAAATAACTACGCAACACAAAGATACAAAAACTAAAACGGCCCCAACAGGGTAATGCTCGAGTGTGAGGTCCCAACAGGATAATAAGTAAGTTCACACTCGGGCAGACTGAGGCCAACGGCTCAAACCTAAAACACAACAACTAACATAAACAGCCACACAAACGACTAAACAGGAACAAATAAACAAAAGACGAGAACCAAAAAACAACTACACACTAACAACACAACCTCCCTCAGCAGCTACATCCAAAAAAGACACAAGACAAAGCCGATTCCAACGAGAACTCCGAAGCTCTGATACCACGTCCACCACTGCATAAGGCCTAGTAAGGCGATGACCCAAGCCTCAAAAACAAACCGAGAACACGTCCACACTCCAGCCGCAAAAAGCCATGAACACCACCCCACCGGCTAACACCACTAGCCGATCCGACACCCACCCAAACTCAAAAACCGAGAAAGGGAAGAAAGGGGACGAGTGGCTTCCCTGCTCGACCGCTCCGAACTTGCCCAAACGAAGCACCTCCAATCAGAAATTCAATTTCCAAAATATCAAAAGAAATTCAAATATTTATCTCTAACATTAAGCAAGTCTTCATCCTGAATAACAAATAATGTGTTCTCATGTTATTTTCGGTACCAACCATATGTAGACCGAAATTGCGGAATAACATTGCAAAATATAAGTACAAAATAAATTTAGAAATCAATTGCAAAAATCTTATTGATATAACTAACAAAATACTATAACAGAATTGATATCTAAATATTAATAACAAATCCCTTCTATTTTGTATTCATTTCGTAAGGAGCCATATAACAAAAGTCATGTGTTGAAGGAGTTAAAAAATATACTTTGATTTTATCAATAAATGCACCAAATCAATTTTTTAAAAAATTATATTGTGATTCACAATATCATAACACATCTCATATAAATTAATATATTAGAAAGAAAAACTTAATATTTATAATATTATAAATTACAAGAAAAAATAAAATAATATTGATGTAATTAAAACTTTATAATTGTTTTCAACTTCAAAATAATATATATTACAATATTTTACAATTAAGTGTTGGTGATCATATTTGACACAATTTTTTATCTTTAACCTAACTTATTTAGAAATCAAAAGAATATATTATCAGAAGGAATTCTGTAAGTATTATTTATGGATAATATTTGAAAATGATTAATTTTCATTATCTTTAGTTGTAAACGGGATCTAAAATGACAACTATTTTATAACGAATGAAATAAATATATAAGTCATATATTAAATTATTATATATCATAAAATAAAATAAAAAATAATTATTCATATTCAACACTATTTTTATACTAATCAATTCATTACTTTAATACAAGCAATTTATAATTATTGTCTCGTGCATCTCACATGCTACGTACTAGTTATGATAACAAACTAACAAATCATCTATCAAACTTAGAAAAAAAAATCAAGATATTTATGATATATGTTGCTGTAAATTATAATGATCAACCAACGAGTTACCTGTTGAACAACAATATAAACTGTTATCTTAGAAAAAAAATCAAAATATATATTTTATATACTCTTATAAATTATAATAATAAATCAACTGGTGTCGACCTGTCACATGAGTTATTAGATTAGAGAAAAGATCTAAAATATTATTAAAAATTATAAAAATTAAAATAATATTGAACTAATTGAAAAATTAATAAATTTATAACTTTAACATAATATACACTACATTTTTCTTCAAATAGAGTGTCAATTTGTATTATTTGTCACAAGTTTTCAACTTTATCATCCTTTCAAAATTCAAAATAATATGTTGTAATAACGTATGAGTAAGGGAAGATAGAAAAAAATAAAATATTATTTAGTATTATCTACTGTTTTTGAGTATTATTTACTGATAATGTTTGAAAATGTAAATTTTCATCTTCCCTAATTATATGCAGAAAATTTAAAATAATAATTTTTTATATCCGGTCAAATACATATAGTAATGTATTATATATCATAAAAGTATAGGAAAAAATAAAACTAATATTCAATTTTTTTATGCTAATATCATAAATCGATTCGTTTCATTTTATTTTCTCATTGGTTCGGTTCGATTTTCGATTTTCGGTCAAAAAATACTAGGCTAGTAACAAAGAGTTGAAGTCTTTTATATGTGCCAATTAAAATTGTAGAATGATAATAATTAATATACAAAATTAATAGTAAAATAAAAGAAGTGTTAAATTGTTAATTGACAATTGTGGACAAGTTGGTTGGTGAGTGACGTTTAAAAACAAAGTTCATGTTTGTTTATAGAAAATTTTGATTTTGTTTGGATTTTTTGGTTTGGTTCGGTTAATTGAAAAGAGTGGTGCTTAGTTGTTAGTGGATATTAAAATAATATTTTAAATAAAATAATTAAAAGTGATTTGATGTAAAAGTAAGAGATATATGATGTGACGTGATGATTAGTTAAAATAATGTAAGTGGATGAATAGTGAATTAAGGTTGATGTGGTGTGTATGAATGATTGATTGATATTACATAATTATATTGATAATATTGATTGTAGTGGTTGAGTTAAAGTTGAGTTAAAAAAAGTGGTTGAGTTAAAATGTTAGAATTTTTTTAAAAATTTCTATAAACAAACATGCTCAAAAAATCTGGGGTGCAAAAATAAATTTAAAGGGGGGACAAATTAAAATTTTTAATATTAATAATAAAAAAAATTAAAATTTGAGGGGGGCAATTGCCCCTATCACAACATGTAGTTTCGCCCATGGTAGGGAGATGGGCTGCTGGGGCGTGCGTTTCGTCGGTAGCGAAAAGA